TTTTGATAAATGAAAAAACAATATACTGTTATGGTCCGGTTCCTTGTACCACGGTGATAGTCCAAGGTAGAACCAATAAAGAAGAACTCGAACATGGATATGGAATAACACAGATATATTACAAACAGGAATATATACAGAGAAGTAGAAAGTGCTAGTACGAACAATCAGGTTTTGTAGTAATTGTCTGAATGCAACTCTGTTTCGGACTGCCTCTGACTCGACTGACTGACTCACTCGCTCTGACTGACTGACAGACTTCACTCCAGACTTCAGACTGAACGGTATTTAGTCACCCCCCCCCCCACGAGGGCATCATGTGGCACAAGGCCAGTTTAACGTGGGATCTCTGAGCCCGTGGGCTCAGCCAAAAATATGCTCTTTGAACCCATATACACAGGTTCAGGGTTGGTTTACCTCCCCGAAAGAGACTCTGCCCTTCGGCATAGCCTCGTTCGGGTTCCTCCCTTCCCAAAGGCAGAGAGTTCAACCGATCAGCCGGTCACCCGACTTCAGACTGAACTCCCTGCTTCCTCTTGAGGCACAGTATTTATTACGTATGGAATAGTCCATTATGTTATTATGGGTAAGGTCCCATAACATATACAAAAACTTCTCTGTTCTTATCTGTGCTGGATTTTGTCTGCCTTAACCAAACATTTGGCCAAAAGGAATCCATGAATCCTAGGTACTTTTTCCAAATTATATTCCACTATCCTTTACATTTTTTTCCTTCTATCAATCCCCACCCCTTAAACAACTACAAAGTAGGCAAATCATTTTTTTTTTAATTTACTGTGGTGAACAGCCCCGTAGAAACAAGCAAGCCAGAGTGGCTTGCATCTGGTGTATAGGAAAATAAAGGTCTTACCTTAACGTGCGGCACATGACATCAGCAAGTTTGCTTCATGAAAATCGCATTACTCTCCTGTCCAGCCATTCTAGCAGTATGTGCATTGATGGGGATTTTTTGTACAGTTTGGCATGCTTCCACCAGTAGCAATTTGTGTGCTGATTGGTCAAACTGGAGGAGGCAATTTGCCTGTGTAACCGAGAATAATAGCGAAGAACGCTGATTGGCTGGGAAACCGCGGTGTTGGCCTGATAAAAGAGTGCTGGAGCCGTGAAAAAGGGGATAGAAACATTGGCTATAGGTAGTGATGTGTGAAGATAGTGAAGACAGTGAATTGAACCAGTGATATTGTGATTTATACAAGTGACGTTGCAGCAGTACAGACTTATTTAAGCTACATTTACTAAAAAAAAAGTTTCATTAATTAATGGAATTAAAAATCTCAATAAGGTTCAATAATATTCTGAATTTCTGGGATGAGTTATTGTTTACATTTAAACTAATGTCCTCATCTTTGTTGTTACATTTCAGTCTTCAAGTGCTTATTGATCTGGGTAAGCTTCAAGGAATTTTGAACTGAATCCTTTATCTATTGGGGGTAAATTGTTCTTATTTAAATACTGCTTAGTTATTGCTCTGTTTCCATAGAGTTTAATCTGCACTGCCTGGCCCAGGGATTGAACTCACAATTACTATATCATCAAAAATTTATTAACCAACTTTTTAATCCATTACTCTATTTGATGAGATAGGAGACGGATGGGCTTGATCTCACTAAGATTAATAGATGCCTATTCTATCTAATTAAGATATATAAATTATTTTACTCTTTAAAGAAGTTATTATGCAATCATGTTTTAAAGACTGATAGTAACACTAGAAAATATTCTTGTAGGAAAGCAAAAATGTTTGTTATGTGATGGCATTAGAATGATTTGCTTTCATGTAATTTAATTCAGAAAAGAATGTTTTTGTTCTGTTTTGGAGTGCTGCCATATCACCATGCATTTTTTAAAATGTCAAAATTGCAATATTTTTGAACATTGAGTTTAATACTGAAGATAAAAAATCCTTTTTAGGATAAAAAAATCAAATCAAATAGAATCTTTTAATCATTTGAGAGAACCTTTTTTGTGTTCTACAAATCTATCCTCCAGAAGAGTGATTCCATGCAACTTCTCAAGGCTAACATTTTCTGCTGACATGGAATGGAAAGATTATATTGAATCAATTACTAGGGCTGCTACTAAGAAAGTTCGATATCTGTGTTGTGCTAGGCAATCTTTCTTGCCAGAATTTATCTTACACATTTATAAATCTACCATTTGTCCATTCATTGAATACTGCTCCTGCTATATATTTAGAGATTCTTGATAAAATCCAAAGAATCTGTAATGTTATGTACCCTACCCATATCTAGTCAGTTGCTGCTGCTATATATCTTTTGACAAATTCCAAAGTAAGGTCTGTAATGTTATTAGTTCTGACCTGGCATCTCAGCTTCGATTACTTTCTCACCACTGTAATGTTGATTCCATGTGTCATTTCTATAAATATTTTCATGGTAATTGTTCTGATGAATTTTCATCTATGGTACCTAGACTCTAGGAATTTAAATGCAATGCTAGATTTGCGGCAAGGTCTCATCATTTTAAAGTAGAAATGTCTAGATGTAACTGTAAGTTCTATGCTAATACTTTCTTCTGTTGTATTTTTCACTTGGGGTACTCTCTTCCAGCTTATCAGTCAACTCTGATCTTCAAAAATTTAAATGCAATGTCAATTGTTATTTTCTGTCTTCTTGGTTCCTTTCTTTTATTGTTCTCTCTCTTTAATATTTTTTATAATATTCTCTAACACTCAGTAACCCTCTTGCATCTTAGTGGCTTTATTGCCTTGTGAAATGATAAAAAAAGGAAATGTTTTGCAATCTCCAGATTGAATGTTGAAAAGTTTTGTGCTGGGCATTTTTTGCTGAGACAGTGAAGTAGATCAACATTACACAATGCAGGAAATAGTTAATATTACTTATCAAGTCTTTCGTCACAGGTAGGTTGCTGAAGGTTGTTATTAATGTCAGTCATATAAAGCCCATAAGATCAATGCCGGCATTTCTCAGGGTTTGCTCTTCAGTCCTACTCTCATTCTACTGTCTATTAAAGATCTGCCTAAGAGCATATTCCAACCATTAGTGAGTATATATTCCCATGATACAAAAGTTTATAGGTGCACCTCCCAAAATCTGGACAGCCAGAACTTAGAAGTTCATCTTTCCTCTGACCCACCTCAGGTGGTTCAATAGCAGAAGGACTGGCTTGTAAAATTCATTATGGCTCCTTTTCTTGAATGTCTATTAGGATTCAAGCTCACATCAGACCTCGAACTCGTATATCTGAACTATTGCTAAAAATTCTGGAATGACACATGGGTCCTCTCTCAAGGAGGCTCCTTGCCTTGAATGTCTATCGGGACTCAGGCTCTCCTCTGACCTCAAATGAAACTCATATATCCAATCTATTGCTAAAACTGATGGAAAAATGGTTGCTTCATTTTACCACTCCAGTAAGTATCTAACTCCCCTGCTATACTCTACAAGAACCAGATCAAACCAAAAATGCAGTATTAGTTGCCATATCTGAGCTAGAGCTGCCTTGTCTCCACTTACCTGTTTTGATATAGTTCAAAAGCATCTACATGGCCTCATAGGTGATGAATTATTTTCCACTCTGCAAGTCTTTTCCCGACAGATGTTGCTCTAATGCTATTTCCATAGCATATTTTCTGATGAGCTACATTCCTTAGTCTCACCAACCCTGAACTTTACAACCAAACTCACGATGCCATGTACACAAGTGTGAATTATCCCAATTCCCTTAGTAAACAGATCCACTTGGACAGCTTCTTGTGGAACAGACTCCAGACAGGGTATTTTCCCCAATCACTACAATCTTGATCTCTTCAAGTTGAGGGTTAATTTATCTTTCTTGTATAACCCCATGAACTTCACTTCTTACCTTTTCTTAGGTTCATACAACACCTCACAGCAACGCTCTACATTGAGGGTTTCTCGGGCTTTGGATTTGAGTGAATGTTAGCATATTGTTTTTTTTTTTGTTTTTTTTTTTAAATACACAAATGAAGATTTAAAAAAAACATTTGCATCAGTTTGGTTATGTGAGTTACTTTGTTTTACTTACACTATTTACATTATTTGGACTATTGTCCTTGTTGCCATATTTATTACATTTTGGCCATTGTACACTTCAGCCTTCTTCAGGTGGTTGGAATGTCAAACTGAACTCTTTATTTCGCTCACTGGGGTAGACTGTTCTAGTTTCACGTGCCATGTTTAATGCATGTCAGTTATCTCCTGTTAATTCCCCTCTGCAAGTTCTCCACTGCCTTAACCGGGTATTAAACTCACACTCTTTGGGTCCTGTCACTGGATCTAACCAACGCCTTTATCCACTGTGCCATGTGTCTTTTGTTTTACTTATGTGGAAGCCACACATTAAACAAATAAAAAGTTTACTAGATTTTATTTCTATATATGATTCACTACTTAACATTTTTACTGTTTTATTGTTATAGCATTGTTGCCTGTCTGTACTGGCTCATTTTGGAAAAATTAGGAAATTGCAATTGACTGGAAATAAATAATTATAAAGAGACTGATTTCTCATAGGCACCAGTATTTTGGCTTCAGTCAGGTACTCCAATGCCTGCTTATTTCTAACACCTGACTCAATACATGCATGTTAATCTTTGGACTTTTTTCAACACTAAACTTTCATCTACTATCTTCATCAGAAACTGCACCTTTTGACTATCATTTTTCTAGTCTTTACAGAATTCTTTTAATGAAAATTATTTCTATTCTCTGGAAGACTGCAAAAGGCATCTTGATTTGCTCTTTACTGAAAAAGTTCTCAGAGGATAGAATTCTAAAGTTGTCTGAAAGATGGCAGAAGGTAGAATAAAATGATATGTTGTCTGAATAAAGTTAGTGTTGAAAATAAAAAAACTATTTCTTATTTTTACTTAATTGAACTTTTTAGTTATCTGATATTTTATGGCATAAGTATAACACTTGAAATTAATAACAACAAAAGTATTAATTTCTACTTCATTTCTGTTTATCTTACAGGTTCTTTCCCAGCATGCAAATTGATTTTGGAACAGGCTGGACCCCATGTTGTCTATGATCGTGATAATATGGACAGGACAGCTTTACATCTGGCCACAATTCGAGGCCACGGAACTGTACTAAATTTTCTTTTGGAGAATGGAGGTACTGACCCCCTTTTATATATATTTTTTTGTCTGTCTTATTCTTTTTGATTGTTGGTTTCTTAAATTTACTATTAATATTTTTTTATTTTCTATTGCTTATTGTAAGGTTTCTAAAAAGTGTTATTTTACCTTTTTGTTTGACTAGTTTTATTTTCCATCTATTTTCAGTTTATTCAAGTTTTTTTATGTGTTAATATTTTTTGATGCATTTTTATATTTATTATAATTTTATTTATATTTTTTGAGGTGTCATTAATATATTTATATTTTTTATTTTATTAATTTAAGTTTATTACATTTATATTTTATTCATATTTTTATGTGCTATGCATAACAAATATAAATATAATATATATAATAATATATATATAACAACAGATTATAAATATAAATTAATATAAGTATAATAAAATGTTATATTTATATATTATTTGTATCTATTATTAATATTTTTGATGCATTATATCTATTACATATTTATTATTAATATATTTTTATCTATTATTATTATTATTATTATTATTATATTTTTTATCTATTATATTATTATTATTATATTTTTATTAGTAGTATTTCTGGAAGTGTTGTTATATTTTTTATGCTATTAATATTTTTAGACAAGCCTTATCTTCTGTCTATATTTATGAGATGAGGTACTATGTACACTATTTGCATTATTTGAACTATTGTCCTCATCTTTGTTGCCATATCTATTACAATGTTTTAAGAACACATGGCTCAGTGGATAAAGGCATTGGCTAGATCCAGTGACAGGACCCAAAGAGTGTCAGTTCAATACCCGGTTAAGGCAGTGGAGAACTTGCAGAGGGGAATTAACAGGAGATAACTGACATCCATTAAACATGGCACTTGGAACTAGAACAGTCTACCCCAGTGAGTGAAATAAAGGGTTTGGTTTGACATTCCAACCACCTGAAGAAGGCCGGAGCGTACAATGGCCGAAACGTTGTAATAAATACGGCGACAAAGAAGAGGACAATAGTCTGAATAATGAAAGCCTTATCTATTCTTTCTGAGGATTTTGTTAAATGCCTTATTTGTAGTTTTTTTAATACAGGGTATATTTCCAGCAACAAATTCTCTGCTTTTTTATCTTGTTCAAAGTTTTCTTAATTACTCTGACCAGATTAGAAGCAGAAACAGAAGTAATCCATTAATTTTTGTTATGATATTTGAACAACTTTTGCGAACTAAATTTCATGTTTTCTTTAATTTTACATGATCAAGACACTCATAAAAAAATCTTAAATTCATCTCAATTTTTTTCTCTATAAGATATTTTACTTAAAAGCATTATTGTTACCCAAATTACATACAATAGGATACTCTCTACAAAAAAAAAAAATTGATTATGCTGTACACACTATAGGGTGCCCAATAAAAAAGCAGAAAATTTATTATCAATTTTATCTTTCAGAAATAATTGACCTTAAATATTCATGACTGAATAATTATTCAACTCTCACATAATTGCTTAATTGAATATTCATTATTTTGAATAATCATTTAACTCCCACATAATTAATTAACTCTGATTGGTTCTTTTATGATCGATTAACTGCTACTTGATCTTGTGACTTGTCATTTAAAGAATATTTGCAGACAACTTTTGTTCTGCCTTTCTTGTATGGCTAAACAAATCACTGATTTTGAGCGTCAAGTTATCATAGTTTTCAAAGAAGAACATGTGACGTGGGGATTGACAAAATGTGCAGAAATTCTTCCAGAATTTTTCAGTCACCAGTTTTCAATGGTTGTCTCATGTCTTTCTGAATTTACTGTTTTTTTTTTTTTCTTTTTTTACTGGGCACACTGTAGATATACTTGTACATTGTGCTACTAGGTGTGACTAGTTTATACTATTCTGAGTCAGTTGTCAAATGGTGTAGTTCTGGATTGATTGATTTATGGTCAGTGATGTTTTTTTGTATTTCTAAGTGCACTCATCAATTTTCCCAATGACTGATAGAAAAGAACAGTTTGGGGAAACCTGCTGCTGAAACTATTTTAATGTTTTGAGAAGATACTTAAAAAAAACAAAACAAATGTGTTATATCCTTAAAAAAGGTTACAAACAGACAAAGGTGGTACTTGAGTGAAATGAACAGCAACATGGGGCATAGATGAAAGAAAGAGAGGTTTATTGTAAAAGAGAATACACTACTGAAAGACAAGGAATCAGTTAGCAGGCTAGTAATTCCCGAAGCAAGGATATTTACGTTAATTCCCTGTGAGGCAAGATGTGGCACAAAGCTGTTTTAATGCGGGGCAAAAATTCCCCATAGACCCTTTCGGGTTAACCTCATTTGGGTTCCTCTCTGTATGAAGGCAGAGAGTTCAACCAGCAGAACTGGAGACGAATCTCTAACTAATTGCCGAAGGAAGGATATTCACCTTACTCCCCCACTCCACATGGCAGGATGTGGCACAAGGCCGTTTTTAATGTGGGGTCAAAACCAAGTCCATAGGCTCAGGCAAAAATTCTCTGTAGACCCCGTAAAAATGGGGTTGGGTAGTTGTCTACCACATAGCCTCATCTGGGTTTCTCTCTGCCCGAAGGCAGAGAGTTCGATCAGCATAGCTGGAAACGAATCTCCAATTAATTGCCAAAGCAAGTCTGCCAGGTATATCTTGTGTTTACTATATATATCTACTGATGTAGTCAGTCCACATATACAATAGGGAGTGTGGGACATTTCATTACAACAAAGTACATGAGTGGCATTTATATTTCAAACTTGATGAAATGCCAAATGAAGACCAATCACACTCTAGCTCATCTTCAATGAGCCAAAATAACGAAAATCTAAAAATTTCTGCCATGTAATCAATGTAGATCATCATCGGATAATTGATGAGATTTGAGCAACAAGTTTGTTACAGAGTGCATAACATCAAATATTAACAATATTTGAAAATGAAAACCAGTTTTGCAAAATTCGTGCTTTATTTCCTCAGGATCAAAAGATAATCATTTGAATCATGTGTCTGTCAAATCCAATATGTGGGTGGTGTAACGACTTGGAATGAGAAATTGGAGAACAAAGTTCAAATTCTAATCTGGTTCATGACATTCATTTATGCCCAAATACTCTTGGGAAGAAGAATAATCTCTTCCGCCTCTCCCCAGCTAAGAGTTAAATAGTAGGACTTGTATCTAGAAAAATAATTGTTATTCTCAATAAATTATTATTGCAATATTTATGAAAAAAAAAAAAAAAAGAAAAAAAAAAGATTCTTACTGTGCCCTAAATATGTTTCCATTTTAAATTCCCAACAAAGGGTTGATAAGTCATAAAAAACAAATCTGTCAATCAATCTATCAATCCCAAGTCAACAAATACCCAAAGAAGGCTGGAAGGCACATTGTTGCTGTTATCAAAACATTTTGGTCAAAGTTGAAGACATTACTTCAACTGTAAATAATATAAATAATAGCTCCCAGAAATTGAGAGAACAAGTTTGAAATGACCCACAGCTTCACACCAAAATTGTGACTGAGGATGAGTCTTTTAAAAAGAATTTGAGTTAATTTTTAGTTTTCCCTTGTAAGTATATCTTCACCTAGAAGAACTAGCATGCTATTCTGATATACCTGTAAATAATGACTGACCGTTTGTAGCTGAGTATGCCTGTCTACTAGGATGGCTAGCCAATCCCTATTGCAGACATCTGCTCAGGCAGATTTGTGCTTTTTTAACAACTATAGAGCCTACCTGTGATTTATACTGCAACTATGCTGAGCAGACATTAGTTACAGTTTCTGGGAGAGAGAGTGCATTAACATGCATGATTGACAGTCTGAACAAACCCTCAGTCACGATGACAGCTTCCAAATAGTTCCATTTACTCAATTTCACTTACAAGGCTTGGGTCAACCCTTGGTATAGTTTTCAGGCCCTTTTCAAAGGTGCCACTTGCTGCTGGGATTGCCTCTACAGGCTGATAACATCAAGAAGTCACCTTCCTGACAAATCAACCATAGTAAGATTTGAACCTAGGTCTCATGGTCAGAAAGTGAACATTCTAACCACTCAGCCATGTGCCCATTGATATACCTGTACCAGTTTTAGCAAAACCTTTTGTGTGTTCATTATTAGAATGCTAGATACAAAAACTTTACATTTTTAAACACCAGGTCATATATTCATATTAATTTGTATTTTCGTCTTTTAGCTGATTTAGAGTTAAGAGACCGTTTCCAAGCCACAGCCTGGGATTATGCAAAAAACAAACAGCTACACTATTGTCAATTAATCATGATGTCTCACAAACGTCAGTCTCTTCAATCCAGCCCCAGGGATACCGGCTTAAATGGAGATGTCATAGGAAGTAATGGCAATTTAGAACCATGGATGAAAAGTCAGGAAAATACTCCAAATTCTACACCTGGTAGAATTCAATATAATTTGGGCTTGACAGGTCGAAGTAACAATGGTGATGTCAGTTCCAGGAATTATAGTAGCAGAAACAGTGCCAGTGCTGTTGTAATGAACAACAACAATAATAATAATAATAATATTCCTGGCTCTAAACCCATGGCAGTTAAAGTAAATCCACAGCCTCTCCAAGTATATGGTACTGGAAATCCTGTCTACAGTAAAATGTACTTCAAAGAAAATGAGGTAAGTCTGCAAGTAACATACCTGTGAAGTTTTTAGAATAAATTTGTAACTTACCAACTTTGGAAACTCATTTTCAGTTTCATTTGCATTTTATGAATTTATCTGCAGCGACATCTGTCAGTAAAATTCAGAAGAGTAGCCAAGCTGTAACTAGAAGAGATCGTTTGTTGGAAATGAACAATAAAGCCAATTGCTTCAAATCAGAAGTTGACACAGAAATGAGATAATTTGTATGGTTAAGCTTGGGAAACTGTAAGTTTGTCATTCTGGCATCTTTGCAGATATTTGTAAAGAAAGTTAACTTGTTTAAGATAGCTTCCAAAATGTCTGTAGTTGCAAAACTCTTTTTTTAAAAAAAAAATAAATAAATAAATAAAAATACATAGGCCAGACAAAATGTAATGCCTTTTATTTACAAGCCTTTTTTCTTTATTCTTTCAAAATGGCGTGCCTTTCCTTCTTCATTCAAAATGGCGTGCCTTTCCTTCTTCATTCAAAATGGCACGCCTTTCCTTCTTCATTCAAAATGGCACGCCTTTCCTTCTTCATTCACAACATATTTAATAGTAGAAATATAGTAGCGAATGCATGGGTAGTATATTCAGCCTTGAGTAGCAACCAGCTTAAGACAAGAACAACCCTGAATTCAAAACCATATGTAGCCCCAGTGAAATACAAACTATGCAGTTAATGAAATGGTCATGGAGTTCACAAAGACTATAAACCTGACAGTAGTTAGCTTTGATTGTCTGCTTCAATCAAAGCATACCAAAATGGACAGAAAAATCTTATGATTTTGAATCTAGTCCTCAACATGGTCTCCTTCTCAGTTATAGTAGACTGCATTTGAATAAGGGCATGTATACCTGCCTTGAAGACATTTCTTGACTGCTTTCTTAACCATGTGCAAGTTGCCACTTTCACCTCATCATCACTGGAGAACTACCATCCTTTGAGTGCTATGTTTTGCAGCTCCTAAATTTCTTGAGCAGTTACCATTCTCTTCTCCTGCATGAATCCTGTCGGTATTCTGGGAAACTACTTTGTACAGACATTTGACTCATCAAAAGAGAGCACTAAATCAGAGGCTCACCCAAAGGCTTTTACAGTTTTGCAATAATGGTTCTTCTCATAGCTGTAACGAAAGCCTCAGTATTTTTCTGGCCTTATCTCTGTACAGAGCAGCAGCTGGCCTGCCTGCCTGCCTATCGCTAAAGTCAGTTTATCATTTCTCTCTATCATTGTGATTAACTCTACTGGCCCATTTCCTTACTGTGTTTACATCAAATGCCACCTTTTATAAAAATTCACCAACTTTCTGTGAATATTTACAGCATTTTCTCCTATTAAAACAAAAATTTCTATGAAAACTCTTTCTCCATGTATCCATAGAAGGAGCCATTTTCAAAGAGGATTATCATCAATAAGAAAAGAGTAGATAACTCTGCAATTTTTTTTCTCTTGGGCTTCTAGAGATTTAAAAAATTCCTAGGAACTCTTAATACTTTTAAAATTAAATTTGAGCAGACATTACTTTTTGACCGAGCCTTGTATTTTAAACAATTTAGATTTGCATTGCTATCACTTACCAAGTAGGAGTTTAGACTAATTTCTAATTACAGAAATTAAAGCATACAATCTTAGGTCGTCCTGGGTAAGACGTTAAACTACACCTCTGTCCTGGGTAAGACGATAAACTACGTGCAGTAGAAAGACCTCTGAGCAGGAGGTTTTGAGGAGGGTGGAACCACCTTTTAATTGCCGGTGTTCCCAAGTCCACCCTGACCCAGGGTGGTAGCACCTGTAAGGATCCCAGCTATTACCAGCAATATATTTTTGAAAAAAAATATTACCAGCAATGCAATTTCGAGGGAAAAATATTACCAAAAACAGATTTTTGACAAAAACAAAATATTACCAGCAATAAAAATTTTTGTTGGCATAAAACCCATTGAGGTTGATATGCTGTAAAACAAAATAAACCAAACCAATCTAAACCAAAGAATACATATTCTATTTCATACAAATCTATCCTAAAAAAGTTGTTGGCATTAAATAACCCATTGAGGTTGATATACTGTAAAACCAAATAAAACAAACTAAACAATCTTAGGTGCAAATATTTAACAAGACGTGAAAAAAAAAAAAAAAAAAAAAAAATGGATATTTACAATAAGAAGACATTGACAAACACTTGTGACCCCTTTTCAAAGTCTGAATGTCCATAACATGTATTTGCATAAACCACAATAACCACAAACAGTAGAGGGTAGCAAGAAAACAACTGCATATCTATTTACAAGGTAAACAATTATTGTAATGACATCTACTGCATGGTAGATGAACTTCTGAACTGGCAAAGTGTTTCAAATTTGAATTTACAAATTGAGCTTCTCTCTAAATGTTCATAACTAGAATATTTCTAAGTAGCATCAGAGTTCATGTTTTAGTGACTGTCAGATCAGGTTACCAAATTGCCATCTGAAAGTTTTGAATTTCTATTTGTTCGCAGAGGAAAAACTAATTTTAGAAAGCCTTTATTATTAGCATTCAGTCAAACATTGAGATACTTGTATAGCTCTGAATCTAAAAGTTTCATTATTTGTGTCTCATTAATTTCTTTGTATTATGAGTACTATGGGGAAACAATCCAATAACTCACATTGCTTGTATAGATTTTCTATGTTAACATTCTACTTGCACATTGCTTGTATAGATTTTCTATGTTAACATTCTACTTGCACATTGTTAATATTTTCTATGTTAACATTCTCTCACAATATTTGTTTATGGTGAGAAATCATCTCTGCTTTATCAGTTGTCAGTTATGACAGATGCAGAGTAAATCAGGCAGTTTGTATTATTTACATGTGGATTATTGTCCTCATTTTTGTTGTTTTTATCACAATGTTTCATCTGTTATGCTTTCTCACCTTCATGTCCTTTAAGGAATTTTTATATAAACCCTTTATTTAATCTACAGGGGTAGATTGTTCTTGATCTGCTGACCATGTCTAGGGATAACATGACCGGGGCTTATTTCGTATGATCAGTTATTGCTCTCACTGTTTCTACTGAGTTCAAGTCTGCACTGCTTAGCTCAGGGATTGAACTTGTAACTAATGACACAAAATTCACAAACCAATGCTTTTAGTTCACTGGGACAATCCTGAACCTGGAGTCTTAAACCTAATCTGCCTGCTGACGAAATTGCTGCTGCTTGTCACACATGACTGTATTCACCAGGGTTTTCCTTTTCTACTGCTATTCTTGAAGCCTTGTCTTCATTCATAGCCATTTGTAGTGAAAATATAATTGTGGCTAAACCTTTCAAGACTTCAGTTACTTGGTGTTTACCAATTTTTTTTTATGGTAATAAAAATGCTACAGCTAGAAGATATACTTGATTTACCATTATCTTCTTATAATAAAATTTTCATTTAAAACATTCATATCTCTATTGGACTATATACTTTAACTTTTAAACTTTTTGTTGTATTCATTTTTCTTGCTGATATCCTGATAAGAAACTAAAATGCTATAGAAAAAAAAAAAGTCTCTGCCATTACACTGTCAACCTCTGTTGGACATTAGTCTTTCTGTTGCTAATATGATCAAAAGTTACAACTCCTCCTGAAACCATGCGATTATCAACTTGTTAGAGTTTAGGTGCGTATCCAATGTCAAGAAAAATATCATCTGCACAACCACAGTGTTCATTATATTATCACTCTTTTGATTTATGATACATGGACTACTGCATACTCACAAGGTACATGCAGGATTTTTGTTTTTTTGTTTATCAAGGTTAGACACTTCGAGATCCACAATGTTTAGTCTAGGTACCTCCACTTTTTCAGCATAAATTTTTGATACCTAAGGTTTAAAATGAATTTCTTGAAGATTTCATTTTATTAAATTTATTAATTTCCAGTAAGTAAAATATTCTGGTGTATTTCAGATAGAAATTATATAGATTGGAATGTGAAATTTAATTTTTATTTCTTAAAATTTTCTTAAAAGCTTCCATTTTCTTAATTTTAAGTAATTTGTAAACAAACAAATTTATCCATTTTAAAACTTATCCAAAAAATATATATACATTTCTGACACATTATTTGAGAAAAATTAGAAAATTTAAAGTTAAATTAATCTGATTTGAAATAAATATTACTTACTCTTAGCATAAAAAAATTAATATACAACCATTTGCAACTGATCGGCCCTGTTTAACTGAAGTGACGTTTGATGGATGATTGAGTGACAAAGAAATGACAGCTAGTATGGATGACTAGAATTGACATAAAATTTATGAAATCTAAATGAACGCATTTTTTTTAGTTTTTAACTACCTAGTAATTTCTACAAATGAACATACTTTCCACAATTATCTAATAATTTATTGACCTTCTGAAGATGCTTTAAACAAAAATAAAATTTTTTTAAAATACTATAAAATTTTCCTAAATTAATTTCTCTGTAAAATGACAAAACTCTTAGATCATGTGACCTTTTCATAATAATGTCATATTTAGCCTTTCATAGGTGAAAAAAAGGGAACAAATAATAATGTCAGTTTTATTGCATTCATTATTTTTCAATACAGTGCAGATTTTCAGTTAGAATAGGGAAAGTTGGAAAAAAAAATTAGGTGATTTACATTTTCCAAGGAGTCCTACTTTTAACGAAAAAAAAATTAGGGAAATAGAAAGTTTTTTTTGTGAAATTTCATGAAATTAAGTAAGGTGGGGATAACATATGTAAAAAAAAAAAAATTTTGAAAATAATTTAATTCATTTGTTAATAAGTACTGAAAATTTTGTTAAAATCAGACAATTATTTGATTTTTACAAGAATTTCCAAATCAATGTGTTTTCAATGGAAAAAAAGCCCAAAAAAAAGTCAATGTAATTATTATGCCACCCTGATGACATAAACAAAACAAGATTTAAAAAAAAAAATTTTGAGTGTGTTAGAAAGGATTAAAAAATTTCAAAAAA